GAAGGTTACTGCAAAATCCCATTCCCTCCCCACCCCATTAACCTGCTTTACAGCTCTGTTCTCCTTTGCAGGGCAACAAAAGAAGACCCAAACGATCAGCTGACACTCAGGAGGCAGAGAATAGATGGGGGCAAGGGATTCAGAGGTGGTGTTTGCTGGTTCTCTGAACTACTCAAAATTTCCGTTACCAGTTCTCCAGAACTGGTCAAAACCTGCTGAATATCATCTCTGGGTTAGGGACAGGTTAAGGACAGAAGCTGTTCTGTCAGTGAGGTGCCTGAGAAATAGCTTCTATAAATGATACAAAGCTCCAATGAGGCTAAAGAAGGATTTGTTTATTAATGTTCCCCCTACATTTACAAGGTTAAAAGACAAAGTCATGCACTAAATTAGGGAAGGAGGACTACAACAATTGATACTAGAAAGCTTCCTCTAATCCCCAAAAGGTACAGCAGATTACCAGATTTGCCTGAGCAAAACAACAATGTATGTGTAGAATTAAAGCACATTAATGATAGTTACACTGTCGTCAACACTGAAATTCTGAGAAGCAATTAAATAAAATGCATTAAAAGGTGTCCCTTGACATTTGAGAAGCATCAGGTCTATTATAGATAGAATAGCCATACTTATTAATGAAAGGATGTCAAAGTCAGTGTTTGCACACCACCCCAAAATGATAGTACAGTTCGATCTCTAGTTGAATGCAAAACAAATCAATAAGGTTTATAAGGATCCATGTCTTTGTTCCAACCACAAAGGGAAAAGAAGTAGACTTTGTACTATTCTATGAAGACTTGGCACAATACCTCCCCATCTTTGAAAAAAAACCTCCTACTAATTATAGGAATGCTAAATTTGGAAGTAAAGTAATATGTGAATTATGGAGAAATTTGGCCTTGATGTAGAAACAAAGTGGGAAACAGACTAATGAAAAGTTCGGCAAAGAAAGCCCAATTCTTAGAAATCAAAATATTTGTTTCAGCTTCCAACATCCTGAAAGATTAACATTACACATGGAGATCACCAAATGGACAACCCAAAATCAACTCACTATATATTCTGCAACCAAAGTTGGAAAATTTCTACTCATTCAGCAAAAACAAGTCCTAGTATTAACTGTGGTTTGGATTACAAATCCCTGCTTGCAAAATTATTACATTTGTAACTTTATGTTTCTTTTCCTTGTCATCTGGCTCTTATTTTCCTTGACAACACAATGGAAATGGGTGACCTGGGGCTAATCACTTTCTCTCAGCCCTAGGAAGGAAGTAATGGCAAACCACTTCTGAAAAGCTTTGCCAAGAAAACTGTAGTGAGTTGTCCAGGCAGCTGCCAAGAATTGGACATGATAGAACAGAAGAAAAAAATGTAGGAAACATATTAATAAAAAACTGGACACCTTTATGTTTTATTGCAACGTTTTCATATTTAATATTTTCCAGCCTGGGTGATTGGGGACTGTGTGGGAGGCAAGATTATGCAAACCTGATGGGCTTATGGATTTTTGGAGGGTGGCAGTCCTTTGTATTTCTTCAGTTTTCAATACATATTTGTTTTTAATTGATTCCCACTACAAAATGACAGGAAACTTTGCCACCAGTTTTCAACTATTCTAGTCAGAAGTAATTCCAATAGTCACTACAAATGGATCCGTGTATTTCAAACTGCCCAACCCTATTTTACTGCAAGAATGAGATAAACAAAGCTCATATTATTACTGAGTACTGCTACAAGAACTGCTATGGTCTGCATTCTTGCCCTTTAGCATTAAGAGACAGTGTTATAAACAATCTATGTCTTTCCAGAGGACAAGTGACGTATCAAGAATAACCTCTATTTAAGCCATGTGATTAATTTCTTCATTCTATCCTTTTCCAGCCTTGGAGTCCCTGATATGCTGAAAATCCCATCATCCCCCAATTGTTTTATTGTTTGGATTGTGAGGAACTGAAGTCCAAGGACATCTGGAATTTTGTAGCTGGGAGCTGCTAGTCCAATCATTGCCCTTGCTGCATAGATTGACTTCTCCCAATGCACAATAATTCATGTGGCTAACTATAGATATTCAGATAAAGGAATCCTTATTGTGAGTTTTGCTATAATCAACAAGTAGTAGTTTCTACCTGTTTTGGAGCAAAAATCACCAAAAAAATGTACTCCTAGAACATACTCTAGATCGGTGGTTCCCAAAGTGGGTGGTACCGCCCCCCGGGGGTGGTGGGATGACTTGGGGGGGTGCTAAGAAGCAAGGGGGCCAACAGGGGAGCACTGAGGCGGTAGCGGGGCGCTGGAGGTGGGCCCCTTGCAGGGCACAATTCAGGGGTGAGATTCTACCGGTTCATTACCATTCCTGGTAGTTTGGAGAACCGATAAAACGGGCCCCTGGCTGGCCCTGCTCCTCTCTGCCTGCTCCTCCATTCCCTGCCCAGTCAGTCCTTATTGTGCATGCATGACATCGTGCACATGCGCAACAATCGCTGACAGCCAAAACAGCACATTGGAGAAGCGGAGCAAGCAAAGCCGGAGGTCAGTAATTTTCACTGCCAAAAGCATCCAGACGCCATGTTGTTTTTTTCCGGTGCAGCTGGGTCCAGCCGCACCGAAAAAACCATGCGGCGTCTGGAGGTTTTTTGCAGTGAAAATTACCAACCTATGGCTTTGTTCTGCTTCTCCAACGCACCACCACCGCTGCGTTCTAGGCACCAGCCATGCAGGCTCACCCCATTAACTGTTGCACCACTCCACTTGGACTTGCTTGGACAAGTCCCTCTGGTGCAGCAAGCTCAATGGGGTGGACCTACGGGGCCTCTGAAAGGGGATACGGGGTGATGCAGGATTAGCCCAGGCCTTTGACAGATTAGGCCACACCTGCCTGGCAGAAAATAGGTAGATAGGCTAAGGAAGGGATAGAGAGAGAGGAAAAGAGAGAGAGGGAACGAGAGAGAGAGAGAGAGAGAGAGAGAGAAAAGAGAGGGAAAGAGAGAAAGAAAGAGAGAAGGAACAGACAAGAAAGTAGAGGAAGAAAAATAGAGAGAGAAAGGAAGAGAAAGGAAGAAAAGGAATAGACAAAGAAAGAGGGGGATGGAAGGAAGGGACAGAAAGAAAGATAGAGAGAGAGGGAAAGAAAGAAAGAAAGAAAGAAAGAAAGAAAGAAAGAAAGAAAGAAAGAAAGAAAGAAAGAAAGAAAGAAAGAAAGAAAGAAAGAAAGAAAGAAAGAAAGAAAGGGAGGAGAAAGTGAATGGGATATGGAGGGAGGGAGGGAGAGAAAGAGAAAGAGAGAGAGAAAGAGAAGGAGAGAAGGAAGATACAAGAAAGAAAAGAAAGAGAAAAGGAAAAGAAAAAGGGAGAGAGAAAGGAAGAAAAAGAGTAGGCAAAGAAAGAGGGGGGATGGAAGGAAGGGCAGCAAGAAAGAAAAAAAGGAAAGAAAGAAAGGGAGGGAGGAGAAAGCGAATGAAATATCTAGTCCAATCACCTGCTCCAGCAGGGTTAGAAGGGAGTGTGTGTGTGCGTGCATGGCTGTCAAAACTCCAAAAAGAGGTCAAGTAGCTCTGGGAAGATCAGTCATAAATTAGAACACTTACTAAGCAACCGACCATTAAGCGAGGACCACTTATATTTGGTTTGCCAGTCACCTGGCCACCTGGTCACGCCCACCCAATCACATGACTCCCAAACCATGCCCATCCGGTCAGGTGACCACCAAGCCACACCAACCAGCAAGCCACACCCACCCAGTCACATGACCACCAAGCCACACCCCAAAATTAGGCCATACCCACAGAACCAGTTGTTAAGAAATTTGAATCCCACCCCTGGGTGGGGGGCACTGAGGATGAGTTTGTAGCACCAAGGGGGCAATGAACTGAAAAAGTTTGGGAACCACTGCTCTAGGTGATCAATACCAGGGCTAGGAATATTGAGGGCTGTGATTCTCTAAGTAATATCTGGGCCATCCCTGGAATCATCATGATATGATTCATTAAGCCTATGCAGAGAATTTAAAGTGTACCACAGAATTACCGTTGGTTCTGAGGCAGCCTTTTGTTTTTTCTCCTCCGCTTCCCTTAAAAAGATTGCAAAGCATGGCAAGTAAAAAAGAAAGTTGAGTTAATGTGACCAAAAGATATAATAGGAAAACAGGAACAATTCTTTAATCAAACTACATTCCCCTTTCTAAAGAGCTGTTGACATTTATGACACAGTAATTTGGGGTATGTGGGAAACTGAGCATATTAATTCACATAAATACATACTTGGATTGATTAGTTTTATTACTCTGCATGAAAAGTCAGACCTGGACTACACTGTGATATCTGTGACATTTGCCTCTGTGCCATGCTTCTAAAGAACTTACGGACGGACAATTATCTGAAAGTACACAAATGCTGTGCTGTTTTACTGCCATGCTTTTTTAGTTTTTGTAGAAAATCGTATTTGCGTCCTCTTTGTTAATGTACTAATTTTTTGCCTTCTTATTCCCAGATAAGAATTGTCCATCATTTTTGACTGAAGAAAAAAATAAGTGTCGCCTCTGTTAGTTCTCCTTGTCTCGAGCAGCGTCACCAAAGCCAGCCATAATTTCCCGTCCCGGAAGATGAGCGCTCTATGTTCCTCAAGTTAAGGAAAGCATTCTGAGATTTAAATTATCCATCAAAGCACTAAAAATAGTTAAGTAGCATTGCATATTCCTGATCAGGCTGTCTGTCTGGACTATAGTGCCACAGGGATGGGCTGAAACGACAATTCTCTATTAACCTATCTCTCATCTCTAAAAACCCTCTGATAGCTTGGCAAGCTGTTTGATTCCCCATGTTGTATGTGGATCCACAGGTCTGAAATTAGAAAGTTATAACTGATCTCCTCAGCCACATGAAATGCAGCGGAGATTCCTTCCTAAAGCCGAGGGGGGCAGTGGCTTCAAACAACAGATGTAAACTGAGCTCCCATAACTGTCAATTTTCAGATGATTTGCATTGAGAGGAGAGGAGGTACTACTCTGATTGATATTTTAAGGCTGTATATAAAATGGAAAAATTCTTCTCACTCTCTGCTTGTCGTACTGGGCTGCATTTGTATCTTGGGGGCTCGATGATTCCTTGCTGTTGTATTTGCACATATTGGGAATAAAGACAAACTGAAACAATGCCAGAACCCACTAAAACAGCTGGTAAGTTTAACTGTTTTTTTTTAATACATGCATATATCATATTAAAATTCAGAAATGCACATTTTCAAACCGGCTTGCAAATGAAGAGAAATCAGAGAAGGCAAACTGTATTGGTGCTATATCGAATTTCTGTTCATGGACATCTGCTAATGTACGCCATTAGTGTGAAACTAAAACAACTTACATAATTATTTAACCACATTTGAATGGTTTTGTAAATAAAGATTAGAAAGCTCTGCCTAACTAGAAAATTATGATGTGGGTTGTGTGCAGGTTTACTTATCAGGATTGTTGGCAGTTGAATTATTATTCTATTATTACTACTTTTATTATTGTATTTAATTGTTATGAAAGGATACTATCCTAACATTTGCAGATCTGGAAATTTAAGGTGATATTTTATTTGCATTATCTTTACAAACTCCATTGATTTTTATCCTAAATAAATCATAGTTTAGGTTTATAACATAGCATAAATGATAGAGATAAATAGAGGATAGAGGTGATAGAGACAGAGATTGATAGAAATATGAATGAAAGCGCAGTTGTTGTAAGTTATGCATTAAATTTCAAGGGCGTTACTTTTGCTCCTTGCCTGAAGTTTGGAGATACACCTTATTTCTTTTCAGTAAAACCTTTACAAAGAGTTACAGTACACATTTATGAACATTTCGTCAAGCACTGCACAGAGATTGGGCAGATTGTCTAGTTGTTTCTTAACAGCTAGCTCTTGAGGTTCCTCGACTTTCATTGTCAGAAGTTCCCAACAGCCCAACAATAGCATCTTTCTTCTTATACAGTACTTCTTCAACCTCCTATAGCTCCAGACCAAGACTCCTTTGCTTTGTACTATTCTTTTGGGAATACTTAGAAGAACACATACAGGCTAGTTTTGTTCAGGACTAGAAAACATTTGGAACCACCATAGACTTATTTGGAATTTTAAAAGGCTGTTGTGGGCACTCTCAAAAATGATTGCGCTGCATTTACAAAATGGCAGACAAAAAGGGTTTGGTCATTCACAAAGCATCTATTTACAAGGTTGTGAAGTATTGACATTGCTGTTCACCCCCACCACTTGAATGCCCTGTACGACCTTTGGCTTCTTTTTCCATGCAGGTCAAATAAAGGACTACCTACTGGCCACCCACCTTTCCATTTTTAAACAATGCCTCAGAAGCCGGTGCGCAGAGGTATTCTTAGAAATAAAGATGGCCCTGATTGTTGGCACCTTGCTTTGTCACATATCACATTATTTTTTCTAAAGCTAAAATAATAAAAGTTTGAAGTCAGAAGTGGGATAGGGTGCCAAGGGTGACTGCAAGTACAATGTACCCACAGGTCTTCTATTGCTTTTCAGTGTTGTGTATTCCTTTTTGGGAACAAAATTCTATTACATTGAATGGGATTACTGTCACGTTGGAAGGAAAAGAATGGGAACTTCAATTCTCCCTGAAAACAAAACCAGCCTAGTTCCTTCCTTTCCACTACTATAAATTCACACTGTACATCAATCGGCCTTAATGCCATCCTCTTAGGAGAAATACGAAAACAACACAACCCTTTATTTAAGACCTAACACAGGTGTTATTCAAAAATACCTCCTCTGAGAGAAATACACCCTTTTTAATCTAGCAAGATGGAAATGATATTTTCATGGGTAATTTCCATGTGTGAAAGCACCATCATTATTGCTCTCTGGATTGGGAGAACATATGAAAAAAGATGTTGTTATATTAGCAAACTCATACCCTTCTGTTGTGTTTCAGGTTATTCTGTTTGTTTCATACTGTGAACATAATTCCCTTCCATTTTAGGGATGTGGAAATGGGCATATTAGATCATGCCACAGTGGGAATTACACCTTGTCTGTGACAGGGATGTTCTGAGTGTTTTGTGAAATGTGCTTTAAATCAGGGGTCCCCAACCGCCGGTCCGCGGACCGGTACCGGGCCGCGGAACAAGCCTTACCGGGCCGCTGGTTGCTGGGCGCCGCCATCTTTTTTTGGTAAAAAAAGCAATTTTTCGTCAAAAAAGATGGCGGCGCCAGCGCTTCGGGTGAGCTTTTCCGGGTAGAAAGCCATTTCTACCCGAAAAAGCTCACCAGAAGCGCTGGCGCCACCATTTTTTTTGACGAAAAATCACTTCCGGTGACGTCACCGGAAGTGATTTTTCGTCAAAAAAAGATGGCGGCGCCCAGCTGACGCCGGAACCGGGCCGCGGCGCCCAGCTGACGCCGGAACCGGGCCGCGGCGTCGAAAAGGTTGGGGATCCCTGCTTTAAATGACATCCTTATATAGCTAGTGTGTTTAACCCCTCAGATCTTCTATTTCATTTCTCCCTTTTTTGTATTCTCTGCTGATAATATGAGTTAATTTATGAGTGGATGTATGCATTTTATGACCAACTTTGATTGGAACGGTGGATTGAATGTGTACTTTTTTTCAAAATCTTTCTAGTTGTGACTTCAGTCGTGACAAGCTAAAATCTCTCATGTGGTCTCTGATTTAATGGAGTGCCATGCTATTTGTTTTGAGCATTTGTTTTGAGCATGAATGTAGTTGAAGATACTTGATTATCATGGGCGTTGGTTTTGTGATACAATCTGCTGGTTTTGCATTATCTGTATAACTATATAATAATCTGGGGAAGTAGTAAACACTACAAAGTTTAGCTAGTGAATTTTAAGTTTGGGATCTTTATTGTTATTTTATTCTGTTACATTCATAAGGAAAGGCTATATTCTCTTTCTCTTTGTCTCTCTGATTCTCTCTCTCTCAATATACAACAGTTAGTTACTAATAATTTCTAAAGTTCCTATATGGTCAGACCATTTTAACCTGTAGTTCTAGTAGTAACCTAAAGACAACATTTAGTGACTCTTCAGGGTCAGAGTGACATTTAAATTTAAATGAATGTAAATTTAAATGAAAAATGACATTTAAGCTAGAGTGACATTTAAAAAAACAAATAAGGAGTAGAATCTCATGTTTAACCAATTACAATGAGTACATTATGCCAAATACCATCACTTTCCAGGATTAAGATCTAATTTTGTTTTCTCTTTTCTGTCAAGCCATAGGGATTAGGGATCTTCGGACTGGGGTAGTAACAGGAAAGATCAATGGTTAAGATTACCTTCTACAACACATAGGAATTATAGTCCAGTACTATAAAGGCTCTAGTTTCAGGACAGCTGATTTTCTGCAGTATTGGAGGGGGGGGAGCAAATTACTTCTTTACAGATATTTAAAATATTAGCTATTTTAAATGCATGGGTCTGTGATTTGATTGAGAACTTTGTTATATACTTTGCTTATTGGTTTATCAAATGTATATGCCACTCTTATGTATGAACATATGCTCATAGGTGGCATGAGGTGACACAGAGTGGCTTGCTTGCCAAGCTGCTAAGTTATAAAGTTTTCTGTTCTCAATAGAAATAAGAGGTTAAGACCTCTGGAAGCTATAAGGATTTTAGCACCTCAAAATGGGACTCAGCATCAGACAGGCTGAGTCCAAAGCAACTACTGTTGACAGACTGAAAGGTTTTATTTTCTTGGTGCCAGAACTCTGTAATGCAGGAGGACAATGTATAAGGCACCTTCCCCAAAATAGCTGTATAAAATATGTGTGCAAATTTGAAAGCTCAAGCCCTATTCAGGCCTTCCTTTTAAGGTATTCTATTTGTAATACAAATGGGATACAGTAAATATTTCTAATTTATCTTCAGGGTAGGGTTAAGTTAGCTGGAAGGTCTCCGTTATCATGGGTTGATTTGTGGATTGCAATAGAGATGCAAATAAATCTATATCTATTATATAGTTTTAGCTGAAATGCTAAAATTGTGCCAAGCTCATGATTTACCTGTTTTGTGCTTATTAAGCCAGAAAATGACTGCAGATAAAACTGAGCATCAATTAAGAAAAACTCTGTTCCATTGATCTATACCTCTTTGGGTAGAAGTATCATTGATATTACTCAACATAATCAATCTTAATGATAAGTTAGAATGAAAAGAGTCTGGAAATGACACTCATCAGCATCCATCAATCTCTTGCTATGTGTAGTGGTGCCATTGTATGTTCACAATATTTCATGTAATGTTGCATATTGAGAATGTTTAATCTGTTGCACACAGTCACAAATGGGAGATTGCTAGTGAATCAGAATTGTTCACATGGATACAGAATAGCACTTCTTCAAATGGTCTACATGTATGCAAAGACAGATACATGCAAAGACAGATGAAATATAACAACATTAAACTTATTAATAGAAACTTACTACAATATTCAGATACATTTTCACTTTCTGAGATGGAAGTTATCTACCTCAGACTCTCAGCTCTCAATGCAGAGAACGACTTGCATAGAAGAATTTTTGGACTAGAATTGTATTATCTCTCTTATAATGTAAAATACAAATCAATGTCATACAATTAATAATGTGCTGCAGTCATTGATTGGCTTTTAACTTTCTCTAGAAAGCCATCATGTTCACAATATTGTTAAATTAATTATGTTTATTCTCTTTCATCTGCAATAAATTCTATTTTTATTGTCTAATAGTTTAAGGATTCTGAAATTATGCTCCTAATAAGTGAAACTGAATATTATACATCAAATGAGTTCTTTGCCTGTGTAATTTGTTTTTATCTTATTTTTAAAGATTATATGGCTCCCTTTTTCTCTTGTAACATTTTCTAGAGTTAAACCTTGTTTTTGTAACTGCAAAAGTGCAAGGATATAGTTTATTTTGTTCTTTTGGCATTAAATGTATTCTAACAGAATTGGATTTAATGATCAGGAGATGATTGGCTTTAGCAAATGTATGACATTTAAAATAATCAGATTTCCCTTTTTAGCTATAAAGATTCATGCAAAGTCTAAAAGAACAAATGGAAAACAATATTAAAATACCATTCTTCAGAAAGAGTTATTGGATATACATTGTTAACTGCTAATGAATTGCTATATAATGGCTCATTGGAACATCGT